GAATCGCACGTGCCTTAATTGGAGATAGCCTCGTGGGAGGGGCGTACATCAAGACGGCAGACCCAACTTGGCATGCGCAAGAGTGTCACTGGTGTCACTCCGCGCAAATCACAGTGCAGTATCGTCGTCACCCCAGAGCGCCCGCGCATGGCGTGCTTGCGTTGAGCGGGATGGTACGTATTGGCAGACCAAAGGCCAGGCCTTGGAAAAGCTGGGCCGACTACATCGCAGAGTTTTGCAAGGCCTGGCCTTCAGTAAGAATACAAATGTGGCTTTTGGGGCGCCGCCGGGGCGGCGTGGGGGAACTAGGATGGCTGGTTGGCTTCGTTGGTGGTGCCTACCTCCGGTACCGCTGATGACCCTTGTTTTTGACCCTGAGCACATCCCTTTTGCTTCTGAAATTGCTACTAGTCTGTATTGTTTATCAGATGGTTCAAAATTCGGCTGTGAACCGTGAGTGCGGCGCCGAGGATGTGGCATGTCTTAGCATCGGCTTGGTTTTGGTGAGGATGAATGGTATCATGAACGCAATAGGCGCCAAGAATTGCGACATCTCGGAAGGCGGCGTTGGCGCTTGGTAGGATGCTTGTTGTACCCACCTCTTCCTATTTCAGCCGCACTTGAACTACCACCAGGCAGCTAGCGAGCCTTTTTCCGCGGGGTGAAAACATGGAGAAGAATACCGGGGACTTGGTAACTCTCTATTAGTAGAACCGGCGGATGATTTAGCCCTTCACTGTAAGCTCCTTTGTGGTATACCAAAGTTAAACACCATTGCCCCTGATTCAGCTATTTCATGCCTTAAGGACAGATGCTTGGTGCTATGAAAAATAGCTCATGATAATAACTCTCGCCTCTATCAAAGAAAGGTGTGTGTGCGGCACTACTACAGCACACCCTCCGAAACAGTGCCACATGACAACTCAATTCATCGTCGATTAGCTATGGACAGACTCATCCATGGGAAAGTGGCTGATCATCTGGAATACTACCAATGAACTAGAAGTTTGGTGGACTTGACCATGTGTGATTCATGTCAGTGGCTGTTTGTTCATTGAATTGCATTCGTTTTCGCCCCAGCACGTTTTTTGCGCCATTATTTCGCATCTCCTTTCGATCTCCAAGGGCAAGAGTTTTTTCAGCCCAAGCACGTTCGTGAATATCAGTGGTCAGCCAGGCAGCATTTCGGCGACTGGCCTTGTTCAGGTACATCATATCTATCGTAAGCATCCCAACATCGATTCTAGATGCGCTTCAGTCGCCTGACGTGGCCCTGGATGGCCGCGTTTGCAGCCCGACAATATGGTAGGCCTGCAGGCACGGGAGCAGGGAACTTACTCCAAGCCCATCCTGGATATCCCCCACATGGTGAGCCCGACGACCCGACGCGAGCCTAAATCCGTAGCCAGTAAACGCTCATATCTTGTGTCATGAAGTAACGCCACCGGTGGTTTCATGGGTGAAAAGGACCGGTGGTATGTAGAATCTGGGTATACGACCGTCATCCCTAAACGATCACTGGCTCCATCCATCCTTCTGGCTACAGATCCTCGCGTATATCATGATATATTTGTCACATGGGAGAAATTGTCGCGTGACAGAATTATTCTTTAGGGAAAGATTTTCGCGGAACAGGCTAATAATGGGTGTTGTGGTAGATCTATGTGTCTGGAATGAGGCGTCGCCTTTTCAGCTGTATGTTTGTCGTCTTTGCGAGTATGATATTAAGGGGGTAGCCAAAGACCCTGTATCTTCGAGCGATGTGCTTTGTGGAAACATCTTCTCTCCTGGTCAGTATTCACAATCATCGACACGCTCTATCTCATGAGCAACAGTACAGTAACGCTTGATGGAGACTGTTGATGCAGACAGATAAGATATATCTATGGTACAGAAGTCATCTCATGGTTTCTTATACTCTGTTTTTTCTCTTCTTATATTCCAAACTCTCTTCTCTGAGATGCGAGCAATCTCTGTCCTAGATAGGAGAAGTCTTTTGCTTATGCACTGGAAGTCAACGAAGATCGGCACCAACTTCTCAAAATCAGACGGTGCTGAGGCTACCAAGTGCACCGACAGAGCAACAGGTTTGGGTTTGGTTGTCATTAGCACTTTTTCAAAGGCATTTCTACACTCGACTGATTTCATGCAGACGCTGAGTTATAGTCATGGTGTGGCTGTTATACTAAGTGGGAACCCTACGTCGAAATCCGTTACTTGCCTTGAAGGTTATACAGAAATATCGCCTTCAAAGCTACAATACTGAATCATATCTTGATGACTTGATTCATTGTAACAACGAGGTAGCTTCGTCGTAACCGCAGTTTGCTGTTCTGTTGCCTTCGTCGCAGCCGTAATTTGTTTGTCGTACCTAATGTAGGTGTGTTTAATTGGTAAATATCCGTTGAGAGACATATTTTTTGGTAGCATTACGAAAAGGTTTCTTGGGGTTTAAGAGTAGGAGCTTGCTAACGTAAACGCTTACTTCAATCTTCTTACATATGCTTTAACTAGAAAGTTATTTTTTTAATACCCGATTCTGGAAGGCTAAGGTGTAGCCTACTATTCTCTTCTAAGACAATTGATATAATCCGGTATATAGCAAACATGTATGAATAAAGCGACTGCAGAGTCGATTTTTTTGATACCCGATTGCGGTAGGTTGGGGTGTGGCTTGCCACCGCTTTCTGAGGCAATTAATCCGATACGCTGCATAGCAAACAGATAGAAAAAAAAAGTAAAGTAATGTAAATAAAGCAAGCAATAACAACAAGATAGGTTCGTAAACAGCCAAGTATATTAATGATTAAGGTAGACTCCATATCAGTACTTTAATGTGATTATTCGCAATTCCATGCTTTACAACACGTCGGATGCCGTCCTCAAATAACAAGGTTGATCATTTCCAAAACAGAATTCCTTAAAAGGAGATGCATGAAGCTATTGTAGAGGAAAACAGCCCCTGATAGAAATAGTTCGGATGATCTTAAGACTAGACCGTCAACCTGGGTTGGGTAAAAGCAATTCAAACATATGTAAGATAATTTTCTAGGCTAATCTCATCTCAACCTTGTCCAGAAAAATGAGAAGTATCAATCAGGCTTAGCAAGCAGTATTCACATGTGCGATAACTTATTTAGGAGTGTATGTAGGATCAAACCATGACAACACTCTGGATTCTCAGTAGTTACCCCCTTCTGAAGCTGAATCGAACTCGACGATCGTCAAGATCACATTACATGATACATCAATATAGTGTGGTGTAGTATCACGTGACTAGCTCGTGGTATATATTACGATTTTCTTTCGTACGTAGATAGGCACCCTCTTCAATCAATCCTTTGCAGCGACTAGTTTTCAGATTATTCTATCTACTCGATTGCGGGTCACCCCTCTGATCTTTGGAGCTCGATCACGTATCGTGCCACAATAGGCAATCAAATTACCCGTGTCAAGAAATGTCAAAATGCGTGAGGGTATCTGTTTTTCCAATATTTAGTCCTGATATGTTGGCTGTTGGTAGTGATCCACAATATCTACACACGAGTCGACAATGAATCGTTCGTAAGATGTAGCTGTTCTTGATCAACTTAATTCGAATCAACCAAATCAATCTGTGATTATTCAGTGATCGACAAATGAAATTAGAATCCTAGATTAGCAGATTCAAATATGCCAGCTCTGCGCACCTCATATCAAACAAATACCTCATCTCGTACGACTTCACCAAGGATTATCACGCCAGAATCTTTATCCGACCCACAGGTCCTAAGATAGTGCAATCAACCATCCACTCACAAATATAGCCTCAAACAAGCTAACTGTGCACAAGACACTGCCTCGTGGACTTTGCTGAATAACATGCGACTTCCCTACAAACCAAGCATTTATCGCACTGTGCGATACCGTTGCACATTGATGAATACGAGGGCAACTAGACAGTAGCGACGATAGGACGTAAAACAACGCTGAAACATGTTAAATGTTGGTCAAAGCGCAGCTACTACCACTACCACTACTGATCACTTGACTTTTTTATATCTGTTTGCTACATAGCGTATTAGATCAATTATCTTAGAAAAGAACAGCAGGCCACACCATAACCTACCCGACTTGGGTAATCAAAAAAACTCGCTTTGAAGTCAAAGTAAAAAATGAGTTGGTAATACTACCAAAAAAACCCCTCTGGACGGGTATATGCCCACTAGGCACACCTTTATTGGGTACGAGACAGCAAAAATACGGTTGCGACGAAGGCAGCAACAATTACTACTACCGATATCAACACTCCATCGCTTCTCGCTCTTTAATCTCCACAATCGAGTGTTTGTCAGCAAGAGATAACACGTACTGCCCAATGCAGCCCTGCACTCCGAACGCCATCAATAAACTGCGAGAAGGAAAAAAAATATTTTGTTGGGGTACGCGTCATGTTTGAAAAAGGCAGCTAAACTGTTGCACGACTCAATGTACCTAGTATGCTCTCCTCAGCCACTTTACTCGGCGTCCAAGGCATAGAAAATATGCTTACGGATGCAAGGCTATGTCCGAAATAAAGTGCTTGGTCTTAAAGGAATTAAAAGAAAAATACTAGCTTAGTTAGGTATATACCATGGGTATACCATGGCTGTTGTATAAGACTGGGAGGGGTTATTGCAGCGTCTAAAGGCTGCTAGCTAGGAGAACCATGTAAGTAGGCGCGCCTATTCGCATCCATGTCAAAATTTTGAATTCGAGAAAGAGGAAGGAAAGAAAAAAAACTCCCCCGCTCACGCAAAAGAAACAAAAAAACATGAAGGTGATGCCATGCGTTTCATATTCATAAACATCGAGGTTCCACGATAAATCGCAAACAACCGGTCTCTACAACCCCTCCCGCCTTAAAGCCTTTATGCTTTATACATATACACTTTGAAGAAGCCAAAAAACACCCTAAACCCCGCTAAGGTAAAATAACGTAAAAACCGTAAAAACCCCTCACCCCAAACCACTTCACCTACTTAATCAACTCTCTTCCACCAAAGCACACCCCGGAAACCACCCCCACGCTCACTCCCAATCTTCAAATACTTGACCGTCTTGCCCCCTTCCTCTTGCTCCACAATTGTATAGTTTCTCCGATGCTCCTGCCCCACCATTGTCGGCACATTCGCCACCGTCAAGGGCCCATGAAATACCTGTCCCTCGCTCTCCGTCGCAGGAAGCTCGGTGTTGATCCTGAACGGACCCGAATACCCAATGCTGTGCTTGCCGACCAGCGCCCAATCCGCGTCGGACTCGTTGGCGCGGAAGGGGAACGAAACCAATGGGCGAAAAGCCTTTTCGGTAGCGGTGATGGTGGCGCTCATGAAGCCCGAGGCCGTGTAGATGAGGGTGCCGACGGGAGCGGCGCCGTAGGTGGCGTCAGGGACGGGTTCGTTGTTGAGCGTGCTGGAGGTGTTGACGAGGGCGTAGGTGCCCGCGAGGGCTTTGAGAATGGCGGATGCTGGCGCCGCCGGCGGGGTGGTGGTGGGTTTGCCCGAGGGAGGGGCAGGTAGGGCGGCTGATGCCGAGGCGAGGAGCGCGATGGGGAGGGTGAAGCGCATGATTAACTCCAATACTACTACTAGTACTATGTACAGAATGGTTTCTTCGGGGCGGTGGGTTGCCGACCAGACTATCGGAATCTGAAAGCAAGGAAAGGATGGGTTTGGGAAGGTAAATAAAAGGACTGTTTATGTACGGCTCTGCTGATGGGTAATTTAGACGCGCGATAAAGGCCTCTTTATACGGAAGCTGCGACTTATTATTCTCGTGCAGGTATAAGCCACGATTCAGTATTATTTTTTTCCTTCCTTCGATCCTGGCCCGCCTGATACCGGAAGGTGCTGCCCAGGGTAAGTAAGAACTAATCGCTTGGAATTCCTTCATCTCCGCCATGGCGCCGCGAACTGTTTGCGGGGTAAAAAACGTAAGAAGAAGCCTTGACTTGACCACTATCTGATGATCCGGGTAGCCCTGTAGCTTGCGGGATAATGCATCCATAAGCAGATTTGCCACGTTGCTCGCCCTTGCAGCTATGCCTGTAAGAGCGCTTGCATAGCCATGTCTGTCCTTATTTACAGTTACCGGGTTGGCCCTCAATCACTGTGAGGTTGACATGGCGGGCCGTTGAAACGTAGAGATGAGATATCAAGAGGCTGGCGTCATGTCACGACTATGAAACAAAACGCCTTGCCTGCGAAACAAAGTGGCAGACGCTCCTGAAATTTTGGCTTGAAGTTGCACGGACGGACGAGGCCGGGATGGGACAGAATAGGTATTCGGGCCCGAACAGACAAGTCGGGACAAATCCTTGACCCATGCCAACGATAATACCGCCGCTCCTATAATAATTCATGCAGTCGGCCCCGGCATACTCTAATAAACGCCGATAATGCACACTTATTTTCTTCTCAGCCCTTGAGTGCTTCCGCGGGCGTGTTCAAATTCCCGCTGCGCCTTCTGCATTCAAACTAGTAAGTATTATTTTGTTGTAATGGTCCCGATGGACCTCGGCTTATGCTACATCATATAACACGTGACCGGCACCCTGGAAACATCCGTGTCTTGTCAGGCTGCGGCAGAACGACAACGTGCAGCTGAGTAGAGCCAGGCTCGGGGACCCGCTAGTAAGCGGTGCGGTCCGTAGTATGTCAGGACTTTATTCCTTCAACATCAAACAAAACATGTGTGCCAAGTGTTTTAAAAAAAATAAGAGAAACTTTTCATTAAAGATTAACTGGGCTTATGGCTTTCATCATATACTAACAGAAATTCTGCGTATCTACAGCTCTTTTTCCCGGCACAGCATCTAGGCGTTATTCCACCCTCCTGATATCAACGCACTTCCAGTTCTTGGCAAGCTTGGGGTCTCCCTTGCCCTTGTATTGGTTGCTCTTGGGGAACTTGCAGTGCGCGCGCTCGAAATCAACGCCGAGAGAGGCGGTGTCGTTAACGAATTTGGTACCAATGAGGGCTTCGGGGGCTTTGCCTTTTTCTACCCACTGTACCAAGGCCATGAGAACGTTGTGTTCGGGGTCGTAGCCATTGACTTCGCCGAGTTGTTGACCGATAGCATGGGCACCATCTCCTCCACTGCAGTGGCCGGTGCCGCTGACATGGAAGTAACGGTAAAATTCATCGAGCTTCTTGGGTGGCAGGCCCATGGTGGAGCTGACATGGTTGTAGTACCTCGCGCTGTTATCGCTAGAGATGATGAAGTCGCTGGTGCCGTGCCAGTGGAGGATCTTGGTACCGCTCTTCTGTGCGTTGCTAAGGTCGCCCTTGAACGTCTCGATACCAAAGGGGTTGATGCGTGCAGCATTGTTGTAGTCATCAGAGCTCAAGGTGGCAGGGTCCCAAGTAGGGTCGTTGTAGATGGCATAGCGGAACCAATCAGTAGTGTAAGGGAAAGGGTTTCCGCCAAAGAGCACAAAAGAGGCGAGGATTTCGGCTCCAGGCTGCAGGCGCGGGTAAACCAAATCGCCTTGGTCGTTGGTAAGTGGCGAGTAAACAGCGGTCACCGTGGCGAGCTCATCGGGAGTCAGACAGGTGGTAGAGTTGTTGCCATCGGCGCAAGCCAGACCCGAGGGATCATACTTGCAAAGCAACGGATCTTCGAGAATACCGTCTTGGAGATTGTCAATCTTGTCACATTGGGCCAAGACGTCAGCATGAACCTGCGCCCACTTTGCCTCCGAGACCCACGTCGGGGAGCCGCGTGGACCAGTGAGCGTGTAAAAGTGACCGGACCACGAAGTAAGATTGTTGAAGGAGAATGCAGGTGCTCCGGCAAGGATGCCATCCCATTCATCTGCAAAATCTTGGGCCATCTTGAAACCTTGGCGTCCACCAGTTGAACATCCAAGATAGTAGGACTTGTCCTGTGGCTTTCCGTAAAAGTCGCCAACGATTTGCTTGCCGACGGCAGCACCATTGCGGAGCCTGGAGTATTTAGCCTGGATGCTTGAGTTTGTGGGGGAAGTAACTTACGATCGGTAGGCAAAGTCCTCTACAACGTCGGGGTTATTGTAGAAGGGCAAGCCGCTGGTTCCGTTGTGGCCGTTGTTGGTTCCTATGGCGGCGAAACCTAGCTGGGATGTGTAGGCCAAGTCTCTATAACTGATGCATCCATTCAGACCGCCGTTACCATGGGCCACGAATCGGCCAGTCCAGTTGGATGGCAGCCAGGCTTCCATGTTGAATCCTGATCGGTCAGAAGTGGAAACGTAGAGTGCGACACGGCACAAGTCGGCCCCGACGAGTTGGCTTGCTGCTCCGTCGCCACATGTTGGGTCGTAAACGGGTACAGTAAAGTTGGTACCAGCAGCGACGAACTGGGCAGTGGTAACGATACCACCTTCAACGTCAAGGGTGGAGGCCAGATCGGCACATTTGGAGTTGAAGTCAGCAGTAGCTCTGGCTTGGGGATAGGCGAGAGCTGGTGAGGCGCCAAGTAGAGTGGCCTTGAGGGAGTGTTGGAGCTTCATGTTGAGCGATGAATGATGAAGAATGGCTCTGCTGCGTCGACATCAAGTGCTGGGCCGGAGCTCGTCTTTTATCATTGTCCGAGGCTGGGTGGTATGTACGGCAGATTGCTAGCGGCAGTTTTGCAAATTGAATGAGGCAGGACTAAAGTGCAGGGCCAACGCCGGGGCCTAGTTTGGATCGGGACGGATGCAGGGACATAGGGTGGTGGCATTAGGTTGGCGCGGCGGCTAAAAACAACGTCAACACTCATCGGAACACGCACATGCACATGCAGGCAGACAGGCAGGACCAGGACCTGGAAGCTGGGGAACTTGTGTTGCAGGGCCGCATATTGACTGCGTAATGAGCTAGGTGTGCCACAGGACCCACAATGGCGAACTGGGCCGATAGGGTAGAGGTCTTGTGGTAAGTACAGCTATGCAGGTACTATGGACTACGATGGTGGTCTAGTGGCGACTTTTGCTGTGGTGCGAGAATGGATGCCAACTCGGTGACAGGCCTTTTTTGGATTCTTGGTTAGGTGGCTCGGTTTCTGAAGAGATTGCGCCCCAATGCGTACGGTAGTGTAGGTGTAGTGTACTCTACTTGACTGGACTGTGAGCAGGGCCGGCCAGGCGAGCTCCCCGGTGGAGGCAACGACATGCGTAGTGTGCAAGTAGTCGTGGTGCTAGCAAGTGGCAGAGGCTGAAGTCATGCTAGTCCGAGGGCCGACTCATGCCACTACAGCAACAGTTGTCGGGCCAAGGACCGACACAAGCCCGTTGGGCCATGGTAGCCGTAGTATGTGTATGCATCCACGCGCACGCACGTATTCTGGTCTGCAAAAAGCGGAGTCGGTCGGCGCAGTTGCCACGAAGGAACACAGGCACAAGCGAACAGTGCGGAGAATGGCGGGGAGGAGAAGAGGGGCGGGCAATGCGCGTTGCGCGTTGCGTCATGCTTCGGCCTTGCGGACATGGATGCGGACACGATCCGCTTGGACCAGCAGTGCCACCACTGCCCCCAGTGCCAATGCCAGTGCCCTTGTACTTACTTACTTGGCTTCACAAAACACTAGCTGCCACCACCAACACCACCCACACGGCTCTTTCCAGTCGCCATGTGGGAAATGGCCATGGTCACTTGCAAATTCCGATACATTGGGACGTGTCAAACTCTATCGCTGCGGCACAGTGAATACACCACAGTAGTCGCTTCTACCGTGGCGCTCACTAAGCCACGACTAGGCTAGCTCCTTGTGGCAGGTACCCCAACCTACTTTTAGTACCCAATACACTCCCTCGCTATCTTCCCCCTATGCACCGCCTGGCCCATGTACTCGACAACTGCCGACTGGCTACAACCGCGACAATGCGCGACAATCCTTCGACGAGTCAGTCGCTCCACCCTGCCGCCATGCGGTGACATGCACCTCGACCCTTTCATACCTTCCAGGCCTTGCTAACAAACCCCTCAATGTCCTCCCACAGATCTGCCGGCCGCTCCAGAGCCGCAAAGTGCCCACCCCGTTCGTGGCGCTGGTAGAAGACCAGATTCGTCTCCTTTTCCAAGATGCTCTTGACCCCTACCGACAGCTCGTATGGGAAGAATGAATACCCCAAAGGCTTCTTCGTAAAGTCCAATTTCGGAATGGGGCTACCGCCGAAAAACTCAAAGTAATACCAAAGGCTCGACGGGAAGCTACTCGTAAACCAGTACAAGGAAACATTGGTCAGAATTTCATCCAGCGATGGATCTTCATCGGACCATTCCACCATCTTCTCGCCGATCCTGCTCAAGGCCAGTTTGCGTACATGTACATGTACCTGAATCCACAAACACGCACCATGCCAGCATTGCCAGTGGACTCGACGCTAGAACGCTCCCAATGGTGCTCGGTCTTGTGCCGTGTTCGATAGCATATCCCATGCCAGTGGCGCCCCACTTCTGGGCCCGGGCAAGCGTCTGTTTCTCTACTTCATCCACGACCGTCTTCTCGTCCGGGTGAGTAACAATCATGTTCACTGACCATGTGAGTACTTCATCAGCAAATGCTTGGTCTACCACTTACAGTGTATTCCAACACAGGCCTCATAGTCTCTAGCCATGAGTCGCGCCGTGTGATGGCCCACGTCTCCTCCCTGAGCAAGATACTTGTCAAAACCCAGGTTCAGCATGAGCTGATTCATAACGCGACCGCAATTCTCGCCGTCCCAATGCTTATCGTGACCTTTTATGGTGCTGAGGGTGTATCCAGGCAATGACGGCACGACAATGTGGTACGGCAAATCCTTGGTCGAATACTTTTTCTTGACGATGCTGAGTATGGACAGGAACTCGACGAAGCTGCCAGGCCATCCATGCATGAGTATCAGAGGGATTGCATCTTTCTTCTCAGAGAAGAGAGCGATGAAATGCAAATCGACATCTTCAATCTGCATCTTATAGTTTGGGAAAGAGTTGATATGCTTTTCTGCAGCACGCCAGTCATATTTGTTAAGCCAGTAATCCTTTGCCTCGGAAAGCCACTTGCGTGGTAAACCAACGCTACCGTCTTCTTGCCACCCCTCCCATGTGTCTGGCGGAAGCTTGGAGAGCTGCAGAAGCTGTCTCCACTCGGACAGGTCCTGGTCGGAGATGTTGAGCGTAAATGGCTTGGCCGAGTCTGGTGGAGAGTAAGACATGTTTGGTGATGAGGAATGGAATCAGTTTGGTAGGGTTTGGAGAGGCATGCTCAGGTATTTAAGGACAAGGCGAGATACCCCAGCTTGTATATATACGTATGGCATGCTGCATATGCCTGCGGGGTACTGGTAACACTCTCGGATGGTCGGTAGACCGGTAAGTAGTAAAACTAGAGAACCCAGACCAAGTAGGCTGACCCACCCAAACGAACTACTACCTTTACTACGAAACGCCAGCACCACCACCGTGCTAATTGTAACAAAAATTGTATTCAAAAAATACGTCAGCTCTGTGTTTACTCTGCCCAAGTACATGTTAAAAGATAATACTAGTAGTAGTACTGTTGCAAGAAGAATTCAGATTCCAAGTGGACTTCATACTGTCGGATCTGGATGATTTTGGTTCCGACTCCATCAGTTAAATGAAAAAATAGAGTGCACACGTCAACATACATAGAGTCAGACGGAGCCGTCTTCTTCCGAAGTCACACGTCTGCAACACGGTATACGGAGCATATCAAGACATTAAAATAACACTTGTGCCCAATCATGTACGTTGTCTAATGGGACTAACGTAGTTTACAAGCGAGTGACGCGTACAAGCGAGTGACGCACCCCACCAACTTTGCGCACCTCTCAAGCCATATAACTCAACAACACAATAGTATAATATATAGAAAGTGATAAGGTAGATTAATTACTAGCTAGAGTATCTTTCTT